CATCGCTAAAAAAATGCTTGCCAACATGATTAGGGTTGTAACATCAGACAGGGAGACTGCCTATCTCCAAGCTGTGAATGCACATCACTCTGGGGACTTCTTCCAAACTATTCTCATTTCGGTAATGGGAACACACCTCGACCCAAAGACCCTCCGTATTGCAATGGCTCTGTGCCTTGCTACCCCAATTCACACGGAATATACGTGTATTTGTGGCGATGCGCAAGCCGACCAATATGGTATGCATGGTCTTAACTGTTCCAAAACCAAGGGCTGGCATGCAAGACACAGTGAAGTCAACATCACAAAGAGAACCTTTGCCACAGCTGGATGCCCAGCCGACAGAGAGCCCCGATCACTAGCAGCCAACAATACCCACAACCCAGCAAACCACCCTGACAGGATCACCATCTGTCCTTGGAAGAATGGCAAGTTCTTAGCATGGGACTATACCTGTGTGTCGACGCTGGTTGACACCTATAGCCATCACGGTATCGGGCGATAGGGAGGAGCTGCTGATCACAGGGAGGAGTACAAGATCGGCAGGTACTGGGACATAAGCCAGCAGTATTAATTTGTCCCAGTGGGATCAGAGATCTTGGGATCATGGGGAAAAAATGCCACACGTTTTCTTAAAGAACTGGGTTCCAGACTCGTCGACACCACCAGGGACCCAAGGGCAGCCACTTTCATGTTCCAGCGCCTCAGCGTGGACATCCAGAGGGGAAATACATGGAAATATAAACACATATGCAGTATAATGTGATCCTTTATTGACTACGTTTCGCCCACACAGTGGGCTTTTTCAAGTCACAAACAGAACTACCTGGGGTGAACGAACGAACGTTCACCCCAGGTTTCTTTTCCAATACCTCCACAACCACGACCATCAAGGACATTACCAGTGATAGACAGGACAAGCTTCCACCCTCTGCAGGGGTATACATAATCCCTTGTAATGACTGCAACAAGTTATACGTGGGCGAAACATCAAGGGACCTCCAAACACGCATTTCAGAACACCAATATGCAAGCAGGTCTGACGACACAAGGAATGCCTGCGTACAACACCGTAATTCACACAACCACTTGATAAACTACAGAAACTCAAGACTTATCGCCACAGAAGACAACACTCAATACCGAAGAATCCTGGAATCATCACTTATTTCTATATCCGACAACTTCAACCAGAATAGTGGTTCTATAACATAGCTGAACCACTTGCAAGAAACTTCTTCATCGCTATCCCACATAAGAACACTGTAGAAGGTCTGCTCACAAACTTATCCAATCTCCTTTCCAAGCTACCCAAGTTTTTAGACTCTATAACCCCACTTGGTACATCATCAGATGCAGCATTCTCCACCTGACCTCAGCATTCTGAACCTGACTATAAATACTCGCGTTCCTTTCACCCCAGGTAGTTCTGTTTGTGACTTGAAAAAGCCCACTGTGTGGGCGAAACGTAGTCAATAAAGGATCACATTATACTGCATATGTGTTTATATTTCCATTGTGTCGGTATTTTATACCATTTATTTCCATCGGGGGAAATACATGTTGCATACTGGGCTCGCGTCCGGCTTCGGAAGAACTGGTGGAGATTCATAATCTTTGATATATTGTACCAATGTATTCATGTTTGTGTTTTCTGTCATTGTATTCTGTCTATTAATAAATTTCATATAGAATATAAAATATGGGGGATGGTAGGAGAAGAAAATATTTAAACAGCTCCGGAGAGAACCTTGAGTTTTCCCTGAGGTACGTTTATTGTCTTCTCTGAGAATGTAGGTCTCAAGTTTAAAATTCTAGAGGTGGCACCTCCCTATATATATAATATATATATTTTTAATATATTTTATATATATATTTTATATATATATATGCATTTGTTTAACATAAAACATACAGGAAGGGAAAAATTACAGAGTAGAACGCTTTATTATTATTATTATTATTATTATTATTATTAAAGTGTGTGTATATCTGATCGTCTAAGTATCCCGTCAGGTGATTAAGAAAAAATAAAATTGAAATAAATTTCTTTTTAATTTTTCGTTATAGTAATTTAAAAATAACATTGTTATAAACATGTATAAAACAGCAAACTTTAAGACAGAATTTTTGTTAACCGATGAAGCTGTAAAGCTTGATTTGTTGCTCTTGGACCCCTGATGGAAGATCCCTTGATGCTTGAGTGGCTCTTCATCCTAGGAATTATCCTCTCCCTTCCACGGATCCAATCTGATTGCCTTCCATTCCCTAGGCATTAGATAACCCCTAGCGGCTTAGCGCTTCCTTGTTACAATAATGATGAAATGTTCTTTACATATTCAATTTTGTACTGTAAATTACTCATTATTGTTGCTGTTACGTAGTTTCTGAATATCAGATCAGCCACCACCACCGCTCCCCCCTGCCTTTATTTCCCTTTCCCCCTCCTAATATGATCCATAAGGGTATAGTGTTTTTAATAATAATAATAATAATAATAATGTGTTGGCTTCCTCTCCATTTGGTAAGACTCGGAAAATCTTGCTTTTGTTAGTTTTAACAAAAGCGTCTGCTGTCTTATACGTACTTGTTTTGTGTGTGTGGAGGGGGGTGGGGGTGCTGGTGTGTACAGGTGGGTGCTCCCAGCTAGAGATTATGGCCTTTCCTCTTTCCCTGCTTTTTGTGCGTCTCCATCTACCTCCCTGGTCTTTATCTGATGTCCATATGTCTTCCTCTCGGTAGTCCCTCCTGTTCCCTCTTCCCCTTCTTTGCTCCGGGTGATCGGGCTGTGTGTGTGTGTGTGTGTGTGTGTGTGTGTGTGTGTGTCTGTGTGTGTGTGTGTGTGTCTGTGTGTCTGTGTGTCTGTGTGTGTTGTGTTTTGTGTTGTGTGTGTGTGTACTCACCTCACCTAATTGTTTTCACCTAATTTGTGGTTGCAGGGGTTGAGACAACTCCTGGCCCCGCCTCTTCACTGATCGCTACTAGGTCCTCTCTCTCTGTTTCCAGAGCTTTGTCATACCTCGTCTTAAAGCTATGTATGATTCCTGCCTCCACTACATCACTTGTTAGGCTATTCCACTTCCTGACGACTCTATGACTGAAGAAATACTTCTTAATATCCCTATGACTCGTCTGAGTCTTCAGCTTCCAATTGTGACCCCTTGTTTCTGTGTCCCATCTCTGGAACAACCTGTCTCTGTCTACCTTATCTGTTCCATGCAGTATTTTGTATGTCGTTATCATGTCTCCCCTGACCCGCCTGTCCTCCAATGTTGTCAGTCCGATTTCCCTCAACCTTTCTTCTTAGGACATACCCCTGAGCTCCGGAACTAGCCTTATTGCAAACCTTTGCGCTTTCTCTAATTTCTTGACGTGTTTGACCAAGTGTGGGTTCCAAACTGGTGCTGCATACTCCAGTATGGGCCTGATGTACACAGTGTACAGTGTCTTGAACGATTCCTTACTAAGGTATCGGAACGCTATTCTCAGGTTTGCCAGGCGCCCGTATGCTGCAGCAGTTATCTGGTTGTGTGCCTCCGGAGACATGCTCGATGTTATGTTCACTCCAAGATCTTTCTCCTTGAGCGAGGTTTGCAGTCCTTGGCCACCTAGTCTATACTCTGCGGTCTTATTTGCCCTTCTCCGATCTTCATGACTTTGCACTTGGCAGGGTTGAATTCAAGAAGCCAGTTGCTGGACCACGTGTCCAATCTGTCCAGGTCTCTTTGAAGTCCTGCCTGGTCCTCACCTGATTTAATTCTCCTCATTAACTTCACATCATCTGCGAACAGGGACACCTCTGAGTCTATCCCTTCCATCATGTCATTCACATATACCAGAAATAGCACTGGTCCTAGGATTGACCCCTGTGGGACCCCGCTCGTCACAGGTGCCCACTGTGTTACCTCATCCCGTACTCGTTGTTGCCTCCCTGGCAGGTATTCTCTGATCCATTGCAGTGCCCTTCCTGTTATACGCGCCTGATCCTCTAGTTTCTGCACTAGTCTCTTGTGAGGAACTGTGTCGAAGGCCTTCCTGCAGTCCAAGAAAATGCAATCAACCCACCCCTCTCTCTCGTGTCGCACTTCTGTAACTGTCATAGAACTCCAGAAGGTTTGTGACACAGGATTTGCCTTCCATGAATCCGTGCTGGTTATCGTTTATAATCTTATTCCGTTCCAGGTGCTCCACCACTGTGTGTGTGTGTGTGTGTGTGTGTGTGTGTGTGTGTGTGTGTGTGTGTGTGTGTGTGTGTGTGTGTGTGTGCGTGCGCGTGCGTGCATGCGCACGCGCAGTATTAACATTTTCACTGTTGCATGTAGTATCAGCATTTTGGTGGTGATATCTCTGCGCCATTATAGTGCAGAGGTTATAGAGGTGAAGGCACGGTACGAGTTATACCACTACTAACTGCTTGTCTGCTTCACACTTAGCCAGGTCTACACTGCCAGTTATCGTCCAGTATACGGTGTTCACTGGTTCAGTCAAGTCACAAACTGCGTTCGGAAATTTTTATTCACGTAGGGTGGAAAGATGATTGGTTGTGGCGTCTGAGCATGCGATTGGTTGTCTCTGTGATGGCACGTACCAGTCTCTTGTCGCTATTGGCTGCTGTTAGTTTGGCGTCATGAATGACGTGGCATGTTGAGAAAGGCGGCTTTTGCTTTTATGTGCCCTTGTCATGTTTTTTCTCGCGCTATTTAAAAACCTTCGTCATAAAATGCTGTTTTTGTAATTGGTTGGTTAATGAATCAGTGCTTAAAACACCTACATGGATCCAGGGAATTGTATAGGGAAGTTATTTGTATATAGTGTACGTTTGTGTGTGTGTGTGTGTATGTATATTATATATATATATATATATATATATATATATATATATATATATATATATATATATATATATTTTATATATATATATATATATATGTGTGTGTGTGTGTGTATAAGTGTGTGGTCTCGCCATTGTTTGTATGCGTGTTGCTTGGGGTCTGTGTGGCAGTGAGTACCCCACAGTCTCCTCAGTATCAGCTGATCCGTGGTGGGGGATGGTTGTGGTAGCTGGTGTTCTTGACATACTCTCTCCACTCGGCCACTAGCTGGTCACCGATTGTTTCTAGCCGCTACTGCCATGAACACTGGAGTGTTAGTACTATCGACCCTGGTACTTTTGTGGCTGTGAGTGATAGTGATAAAGGGTGGTCCCTCAGCAGTGTTTTACTGTAGTTGGGTATGTCTTGGGGTGCTGCTAGTGGTCTTGCTCTCACTACCCACCGTCACCACCTGCATAGCCCGACCATAGTTCACAGAAGGGGGCAAAAAGTAATAGTCGTGAGAGGAATAGTTGGTAGTGTTACTTGTGGGTCAAACAGGGATCGTACCTCGATGATGCAAGCAACTTTATGGCGGATTTAAAGTTGCTCCCATGTTTTTGCAAGTAATATTACAGCGTGCTTGCAGTGGAAAATAACAAACTGTTGAATCACAATAGCGGAGTGTAGAGAAGGCAATATAGTATGTCTGGCTGCAAGACTTCTCAGTCGTGTGGTGGTTACCTGCAACTGAAGGTGAATGTAGTGGCGGCTGTGACACCACACAATTTTATCATTTTCTTAACTGTGCAGGAAGTGGGGTGCATGCCTGCTGCACCTCTAGTGCTTGGAAAATGTAACTCCTTGTAAAAGACACAAATCACGTCGAGTAATGTTCCGCTTATTGACGTGAGATAAACTATTGCATTTTACGTTCCGTGACCATGAATATAAAAACAGTTTAGTTTGGGACAAGTATTGTGTGTAAATGTAGATGTCTTAGTTAAGAGGCGAGACGTGCACTTGTGTGTACTCTGGAAATGTACACGTGAGTTGTGTTAAAGGGAGCAGCAGTGCGGTGGCGCCTCCATATAACCTGCAGCTTCACAGCACAACAGCTGTATCATCACATCTCTAGGAGTAACACCCTTCAAGAGGAGTTTACCTTGATGCTGGGCAATGGCTCATGATCCAAAGACTTGGAATAAGCCCTCTGTCCATTTCCTTGGGATCCGATTTGATTACCTGGATTCATGTTTCCCCTTGAATGTAAATAATAATAAAAATCCAGAGCAGATGTTAAGTTTACTGGAAACTAGAGGGACAACAAAAACCACTTATTCTTCTCTTTCTTCATCTTCTCATCTTTCTTTAACGTTTTCTTTGTTATATTCTTTCATGATTGCTGTAAATCCCAGAAGCCGTACCGGCCCAGACGTTACGGCGGTGGATGGAGTGTGTAAGTTTTCTTTCCTTTAGCTGAGGGTGTTGAGCAGGATGATGCATTTGTGTTCAGTCCTGCAGCAAGCTGATAGACTGCTCTTGTGAACTTATGTGATGACACTTTTTTTATGGAATCCTTGCAATCCGTAAAATGTATTGGTACACAGAGTAAGTTGGTTGGGGCGATGGTAAGTGTTGGGGTTAGTGGTGTGGGTGGTAGAGGATAAGGGAGGTAGGCACACGTGTCTATTGAGTGGGTTTGATATGGACCAGTCCTTGAGGTCTCGGGAAGGTTGGCAGTGTAATGGCTCCACATTGAGGCCATTCGGTCACTAGTGTGTGCAGGGAGGGCCTTTTGACAGACCCTCCTAGGGAGGGGGAGGGTGCCCATACTCCTTCCCTTTCCCCTACACACAAAGAATAAGTATTTGTTTGGATCACTAATCCCTGGAGGGTAACTCGCTTATGGTAACCCAAAAAAGTCGAGCAATGTAGCTTATTTTTGTTGGTAAATTTAATTCCTTGCCTAGTATGCCACCCACAACAGTATACCAACTGCTTGTTATCCATTTGCTATTTTCACTTGTAGTTTACTACAGTTGGTAATATACTAACATGAGGAATGTCAGGTGATGAGTGAGGTGCTGCAGGTGACATAGTGGAAGTTATGTTGATAATAGTGTTTAACTGTGTTAGGGACAGTAAGGTCTCTTGTATACATACTGTATAGAAAGTAGCGTCAGTGGCTTATGTAATTACCTGTTGTTTGTTGCCTGACTATAACCTCCCCTCCCCCACCATCCCTTAAGCGCGCACTATCCCTCCATACCCCAGCCCCAACCCCAACAAAACAACCCACCCCACGACCTTCACAACCTCCACGCTCCCCGAGCACCATGTGGTATGAGTGGGCCTCTGGGGTTGGCACTGTGGCACCTTACGTATTTTTGCTGCTCGAGTGGTTGTTTATGTACTCACAGCTCATGCTGTGACATACATGTTACCAGTTTACAAGATATTTCCACCCTCGCCCTCTGACTGATACCCTGACTGTTCAGCCACACTGCTGTTACCGAGTCCTAAGTCCCACATAACCCAGTACAGCTTGGCTGATCTGGACCCTCTTTGAGACTGCACTTGGTTTCTTCTTGAAAACTGCTGATTTTTTTTTTTTAATATCTTCTGGTAGTAGAATAAGTCATAGACCACGGATATTGACAGTACCTGTTGACTCCCTACTTACCACTTCCTCCAGCATCTCTCACTTCACTAAAGTTGTTTTGGTAGTTTGAAGCTTCGAGATCTGATAAAGTATAATCCATATAGTATTAGGTCTCTCTATCAGAGAGTACATTCTAAGTGAATTGACACATTTTTGGCAGTTTAGAGGTTTAATGCATTGAGTGTATGTGGGCAGTAACTGGCCCCTACATACGATTGTTTACTTCTGAAATTTTCAACCTTGAATGGAGCTAAGAGCACAGGACAATATTCTAGGCATCAGGGAAAAATTTATTTGAATATTATCATTAGCTTAATTTTTTTTGTTCCCTTAGGTTCTTATAATTCATCCCATCAATTTCCTGGACTTGGGTGTATTTGCTTTTCTTTTCTCGAAGTGATAAATCACCATACATTATTATTCCCTGGTATTTTGCATGTTCATTGTCACTGTTTTCTTATCTAAGCAGTTAATATTTTTCACCACTATACATCATGTTATTTTTCCATTGTGCATCCGCACCTCGTGAGTGGTAGTTCATTGTTCATCCAGAACAGCTGTCACTGGACATAACAGCGTTACAAGTCACAATAGCTTTCTCTGACCACAGTGGTTATAACTAGGATATTAGCCATTTTATAGTGTTCGTTCTAATATTTGTCTAGTATGTGAAAAATGTCACTTTTTTTTAATCTGCACCTCTGTAAAAGACCAGATGTTCGTAGAGGCCATAAGCTAACCATGAGGTGAGGCTTGGAGCCAAGACTCGACCCCTGCAAACCTAATTAGAAGAGTACAGCTAGGCGAGTGCACGCACTACGTCAACAGGATACAGTCTGACATATAAATAACAGTGTCATCAGAATGTTTGGATTTCACCAGCTATAACAAGCTTGGACAAGGCAACATTTCCACCACAGCAACATTTCTACCTTTACCTCGAGTTACCGTGGCAGAATTTGCACCACAGCAAAATTTTCCCTGTGGCAGCATCCCCCCGTGGAAGTCTTTCCATCGTGGCCAATATCACCCTTCGTCATTACGAAAGCAAAATGCACACTGGGCACTACAGCTGTATGTAGACATGAAGTGTTCTGTGCAGACGATATCAGAGCTACACAATAACAATACAGCTTAAAGCTCGGTCAGTACTTGCTTTTAAAACTATGTATGGGGTTAGCGTTTATATATAACTGAAAATTTTCTGACCCTTTTCTTGACTCTGTCTCTGTTGCTGTTATCCGTTCAGTGGCTTTTGCTCCTGACACCTGAAATAACCTGCCACCCACCATACCTGGACATCTTAGTGTGTGTGTGTGGGGGGGGGGGGAGCCTGCTTGCCTTGTGGCTGGGGCGGGGTTGTACCTGCTGTGCTTTAATAAGTCATCCAGGACAACTTGCATCATATGAATGCCGGTGAGAGTGTTTCTTCTTTTTCGGGTTATGCAACTTTCGTGGGAGGCGGCGCTATAATATATAATGTAGATGTATGTTATAAAAAACTAATACTCTTTGACAGTTCTTGCTGAATAAACATAGTCTGCAAGTTTGTTTAGTCAGTAACTACTGATGGTGGCAGACAAGATGTTGGTACCGTTGTTTTGATAGGTTATAGCTAGACACGGCAGTAATCACTCTGTACATTAGTGGTAACTATACCTTTGATGAGTTTTTTCTACTGAGCCCGGCCATGGACCAGGTTCGTCTGTGCTTGCCTGGCTGTTGCTGCTGGAGGCCCGCTGGCTCACATACCCTTCACAGCCTGGTTGATCTTGCACCTGGTGAAGATACTTGTCTAGTTTCCTCTTGAAAACTTCTACACTTGTTCCGGCCGTGTTTCTGATATCTTGTAAGATGTTGAATAGCCTGCGGCTACGGACGTTGATAGTGTTCCCTTATTGTGCCCACTGCACTCCTACTTTTCACTGGATCTAGCTGTAACCTGCGTACAGTGGTGACTGCTGTGTCTATCTGTAAGTTATTTACATTTTATAGCGTTCATTTTCTTACCAGCTAATCAATGCGGAAGCGTTAAATAAAACTTCAAAATCATGTATTTAATCATAAAAAATTAAACTGCCCTAATACAGCCCAGGGAACCATCAGGGAGTCCCTTTTTTCTGGTCCGCAAACTCTCAAAAAAAGGGCTCGGGCAAGTAAGAGGTGAATCACGTCTGGCAATGAAGTTCCAAAGTATAACGGTAAATTCTCAAATCTGCACGAGTATCATAGTGCCAGAGAGTGTTGCTAGGTGGGAGTATCATAGTATCATGTGGGAGTTCGAACACGTGGATAGGGTAAAGTAATACTCACGTAGGCTGGTAGTACGTATAATTACGGATAATGTGGGGAGCGCCCAAACAGCCGTACCTATCTCCTTGCTCACTCTCGTATGACTGACTGGCCGCCCACAGTACCCATATGTGAGGGGGTCTTTGAATACTGCTGTGGTCAGCACAATATGAATACAGACAGTGACTCAGGCAGAGACGGTTGGTAGTGAGTCATCTACTGGTACACTGGTTACTGGTAACTGGTTACTACTACTGAGAATAGTGCCAGAGTGTGTTGCTAGGTGGGAGTATCATAGTGCCAGAGAGTGTTGCTAGGTGGGAGTAGCATAGTGCCAGTGTTGGTAGGTTGCAGTATCATAGTGCCAGAGAGTGTTGCTAGGTGGGAGTATCATAGTGCCAGAGTGTTGCTAGGTGGGAGTATCATAGTGCCAGAGTGTTGCTAGGTGGGAGTATCATAGTGCCAGAGAGTGTTGCTAGGTGGGAGTATCATAGTACCAGTGTGTGTTGCTAGGTGGGAGTATCATAGTGCCAGAGAGTGTTGCTAGGTGGGAGTATCATAGTACCAGAGTGTGTTGCTAGGTGGGAGTATCATAGTGCCAGAGAGTGTTGCTAGGTGGGAGTATCATAGTGCCAGTGTGTGTTGCTAGGTGGGAGTATCATAGTGCCAGTGTTGCTAGGTGGGAGTATCATAGTGCCAGAGTGTTGCTAGGTGGGAGTATCATAGTGCCAGAGTGTGTTGCTAGGTGGGAGTATCATAGTGCCAGAGTGTGTTGCTAGGTGGGAGTATCATAGTGCCAGAGTGTTGCTAGGTGGGAGTATCATAGTGCCAGAGAGTGTTACTAGGTGGGAGTATCATAGTGCCAGATAGTGTTGCTAGATGGGAGTATCATAGTGCCAGTGTTGCTAGGTGGGAGTATCTTAGTGCCAGAGAGTGTTGCTAGGTGGGAGTATCATAGTGCCAGAGAGTGTTGCTAGGTGGGAGTATCATAGTGCCAGAGAGTGTTGCTAGGTGGGAGTATCATAGTGCCAGAGTGTTGGTAGGTGGGAGTATCATAGTGCCAGAGAGTGTTGGTAGGTTGGAGTATCATAGTGCCAGTGTTGCTAGGTTGGAGTATCATAGTGCCCGAGAGTGTTGGTAGGTTGGAGTATCATAGTGCCAGTGTTGCTAGGTTGGAGTATCATAGTGCCAGTGTTGCTAGGTTGGAGTATCATAGTGCCAGTGTTGGTAGGTGGGAGTATCATAGTGCCAGAGAGTGTTGCTGGTTGGTTACGAGTGTTTTTAGCAGGTTGTAATTACCTAACACACCTAGATAATTACTGCCTTTAACTGAGTCGTATGTATCTGTTGTAACCCGTACGTTAAGCCAGCATGTTAAACATATTGCTTTCTGGCAAGATTTCTTTTGTCGATTTTTTTTTTGTCCCGCCGTCCTTAGTGTTGTGTAGCATCTCCATGGCTCCTTACTCTTTGGCAACCATGTGGCCTTGGGACCCTGTTTTTCCCCACTTTATTTCTTAGTAATATACTCATATTTTGCGAGTATATATATAAAATATATATATATATATATATATATATATATATATATATATATATATATATATATATATATAATATTATATATATATTATATAATTATATATATATAATATTATATATATATATATATATATATGTGTGTGTATCCCAACCTCCTCTGTTTTGTGTTGCTTGACCAACAGTTTTTTCCCTGGTGCTCTCTTAGGAAGGTTGTCTGGTGTACTACTGTGATGGCATCTCCTGCTATCATAACTTTATGCACTGCCTTCAGAAAGCGTCTTTTCATATCTACTTTCACGCCTGTAATAGTCTGAGAGATGTGTCATGTCACAACTGTTATAAACCTTGGTAATAGATACTAACAAAATGGTTTAAAAAGACATGAGCAAACACTAGAACATGTTGATTAGACATATTAGAAGTGATCGAGGTCCCAGGACCTAAATGTGTTCTTAGGAATATGTCTAGTGTTTGCTCGTGGGTTTTTTTTTTTTTTTTTTTTTTTTTTTTTTTTAACTACAGCTCCGCACACGAAGCTTGGTACGGGTGGTCAGTCGCTCTTAATTATGCTCCAGAAAGTATTTCCTTGGTACGAGCCGTGAAGGGTAACAACTAGGTATAGTCTTGTCGACTCTCTCTCACTACCTTCATTATGGCTACTTTCAATGTTTCCATTTTTCCCCGTGCAGGTCCCAGTTTCATATTTATCAGTGTTGTGCTGGATACAAGATAAACGTACCAAAATAGCAGAAATTTAAAGTATCCAGGTGATGCATTAGTAGCAGCAGTGTAAGTTGTGCAGTGCTCAGTGTTACTTTCACTGTGATACACTCGCTGCTGCTGCTGGCAGCGTCAGGTTAACCATCGGGAAGAGTCTCTCAAGAAGGATGCGTTGCTCCTGACGACCCCTCCAGGAGTGTTGGTGTATAGCCCCGGCCGCGACCTGCCTGTGTGGTGGGCGTGTGGGCATGGTGGGCATACGGGCGCGGGCAGCATGTACCGCGCATGGGCGTGGCGGGCGGTTCAGTGCATCACGTGTAGCTGGTTCAACCCGGGCGAGAAGGAAGACGAGGAGAGAGTGGACGAGTGTGGATGGGTGCGGGCGTACATAGAGCGCCGGAGATCACGCCCACTCGCCCACTCATGGCACCATGAGAGCCGCCTCCAGCTGGGCGTGCACGAACACCTTCCAGATGAACATCACAGCCACCACCCACATCATCTCCACGTCAGTGAGCTGGGCTACAACCACGCCCACGCTGACCTGGGCTACAACCACGCCCACGCTGACCTGGGCTACAACCACGCCCACGCTGACTTGGGTTACAATCACGCCCACACTGACTTGCCCTACAACCACGCCCACACGACTGACCTTGGCTACAACTATGCCTACGAACAGGAGGTGGGTTATACGAACGAGCTTAGCAACCACCACAGTGAGATCATCCTACAACCACAACATACTCCTCCCCACGATGACACCTGCAACAGGAACAACATCAACAGTCTCCAGGTATTGGTGTACAGTGTAGGTAATTGTAGCAAATATGAAGGCGTTTTATACACCTTAACTTGAACCACCTGCCAGGTGCTTGCTTCATCCCTCCCACACCACCTGCCAGGTACTTGCTTCATCCCTCCCACACCACCTGCCAGGTACTTCCTTCATCCCTCCCACAGCCTCTCACACCACCTGCCAGGTACTTGCTTCATCCCTCCCACAGCCTCTCACACCACCTGCCAGGTACTTCCTTCATCCCTCCCACAGCCTCTCACACCACCTGCCAGGTACTTCCTTCATCCCTCCCACACCACCTGCCAGGTGCTTGCTTCATCCCTCCCACAGCCTCTCACACCACCTGCCAGGTGCTTGCTTCATCCCTCCCACAGCCTCTCACACCACCTGCCAGGTACTTGCTTCATCCCTCCCACACCACCTGCCAGGTGCTTGCTTCATCCCTCCCACAGCCTCTCACACCACCTGCCAGGTACTTCCTTCATCCCTCCCACAGCCTCTCACACCACCTGCCAGGTACTTCCTTCATCCCTCCCACAGCCTCTCACACCACCTGCCAGGTACTTCCTTCATCCCTCCCACAGCCTCTCACACCACCTGCCAGGTACTTCCTTCATCCCTCCCACAGCCTCTCACACCACCTGCCAGGTACTTCCTTCATCCCTCCCACAGCCTCTCACACCACCTGCCAGGTGCTTGCTTCATCCCTCCCACAGCCTCTCACACCACCTGCCAGGTACTTCCTTCATCCCTCCCACAGCCTCTCACACCACCTGCCAGGTACTTCCTTCATCCCTCCCACAGCCTCTCACACCACCTGCCAGGTACTTCCTTCATCCCTCCCACAGCCTCTCACACCACCTGCCAGGTACTTCCTTCATCCCTCCCACAGCCTCTCACACCACCTGCCAGGTACTTCCTTCATCCCTCCCACAGCCTCACACCACCTGCCAGGTACTTGCTTCATCCCTCCCACACCACCTGCCAGGTACTTGCTTCATCCCTCCCACAGCCTCCCACACCACCTGCCAGGTACTTGCTTCATCCCTCCCACAGCCTCCCACACCACCTGCCAGGTACTTGCTTCATCCCTCCCACAGCCTCCCACACCACCTGCCAGGTACTTGCTTCATCCCTCCCACAGCCTCCCACACCACCTGCCAGGTACTTGCTTCATCCTCCCACAGCCTCCCACACCACCTGCCAGGTACTTGCTTCATCCCTCCCACAGCCTCCCACACCACCTGCCAGGTACTTGCTTCATCCCTCCCACAGCCTCCCACACCACCTGCCAGGTACTTGCTTCATCCCTCCCACAGCCTCTCACACCACCTGCCAGGTACTTGCTTCATTCCTCACACACACTACCCTCACGCGCTACCCTCACGCGCTACCTTCACGCGCTACCTTCACGCGCTACCCTCACGCGCTACCCTCACGCACTACCCTCACGCACTACCCTCACGCACTACCCTCACGCACTACCCTCACGCACTACCCTTGCACACTACCCTTGCACACTACCCACAAGCGCTACCCACGCACACTACCCTCAAGCGCTACCTTCGCACACTACCCTCACACTATCTCCAAAGATCGTCATCTCCAGCAGAGTGAAAGAGATCGTACCCCTGACTACAACGTATCTTTATGACCGAAACGTTTCGCCTGCACAACAGGCTTCTTCGGGATGGAATACACGAAAAATTACTCCTGTCTCCATATTCACCGAAGAAAGCTGTGTTGTGCGGGCGAAACATTTAAACAATAAAGATACCCGGGTGTTGCACGTGTGTCCTTCATCAGCTTGTGGGTAGTGTATTATAACATTAATAATGGTATCTTACGATGGTACGTGTGTCATCCTGGGTGACCTTGATGCTGCTGCTGCTGGTGTATCAACACTCCTTCTTTCCTTCCCTTAAATCTTCCCTCCCTTACATTGTGTGTGTGTGTGTGTGTGTGTGTGTGTGTGTGTGTGTGTGTGTGTGTGTGTGTGTGTGTGTGTGTGTGTGTGTGTGTGTGTAAAAAATTGCGCATGTGAGTCTCTTATATAGAAGGTTCTACAATCAATAACATCAATGCCATTATTATTATTATTATTATTATTATTATTATTATTATTATTATTATTAAGTTGTGAAGCTCTGAATCTTAGGGGCTTTACAGCGCGTAAGTAATAAAGGTAATTAGGTTTAATTTAAAGTAGAGAGTAGCTGCAGTTCCTTGGACAAAGAGCCGTTCATCATGGCAACTCCCCGATTGAATTATTTTTTCTTATCCAAGTCGAGCATCAAAGCGCTTAAGTTTTAAAAATATCTTTCGTGAATATGTGGTGAATTCTCATGAGCTCCGATGAACCATCTTGAAGATCTTAGGAAGTTGTTACAGTTCTCCGTCAGTACTGGTGTGCCTTCGTCGGCATGTAAGCTGCCAGCAACAAGAGTCAGCTTGGCCAGGTGGTGGTGATGGCAGTCAAGTGCCACTTGTGGCCATCAAGCCTTTCCAAGTGTGCATGCTTTTTGTAGCAGTGAGCTGCTGCCAATGTACTGTTCCTTCCACTTAGTACTCTCTTCTTTGTCCTTCTATATATTAACCCTTTCCGTCTCCACTTCGTTCTTACTTCTCTCGCTCTTCATTCTCTCCTCTGTTTACTGCCTCAGCACAAGCATCGCTGCTGCCTCACCTGAATGCCACTTGGCACCCAGCACCTTAGTCTTACACCTCAAGTGTTGAGTAGTTGCCTAAGAGAACCCACCTCTTCCCAGCCATACGATTTGTGCATATGCACACTCTTGCTTTGCACACCTGTGCGTGTACACCAGGTGTGCATTATTGTATTTATTGAAAAGTGTGAATGTATGTACACGAAGTGTGTGCATGTTTATGTATGTACCAGGAAGTGCTGATGTCTTTGTGTTCACCGGATGTGATGTTTCTCCAGTCCTATCATCCACTTGATGACATTTGAGTGTGTAAGTATTATAATTCCATTATGTGTGGAGCTAGTGAAAGAAAGTCCAGCTGTTTTTAAGTGTTAGTTTTATCTCCTTTGCTTAATAGAAGAGTTTTAAAAAATGAGAAGGGTGTGTGATGTATGTGTGATGTATGTGTGATGTATGTGTGATGTATGTGTGATGTATGTGTGATGTATGTGTGATGTATGTGTGATGTATGTGTGATGTATGTGTGATGTATGTGTGATGTATGTGTGATGTATGTGTGATGTATGTGTGATGTATGTGTGATGTATGTGTGATGTATGTGTGATGTATGTGTGATGTATGTGTGATGTATGTGTGATGTATGTGTGATGTATGTGTGATGTATGTGTGATGTATGTGTGATGTATGTGTGTGTTGTGTGTGATGTATGTGTTGTGTGCGTGTGATGTGTGTGTGTGTGTGTGTTACAACTTTGATGTCGTAACTTCAATAAAATGTTCCTGGCTCCTAAAGGCTGCTCACACTGCTGTCTAGGGGTTATTAAATTACTCTGAAAAAACACAGCAAACCTTGGGCTAGCATGTAGTCATATATTAAACAATATTAATTATTATTAGGAAGGAAGGACAAAAACTCGCCTATATAAAAAGAAATTTTATAACCCCTAGACAGCAGTGTGAGCAGCCTTTAGGAGCCACGAACATTTTATTTCAGTTACGACATTAAAGTTGTAACTCGTGTGTGTATGGTGTGTGTATGGTGTGTGTATGGTGTGTGTGAGTGTATGGCGTGTATGGTGTGTGTATGGTGTGTGTGTATGGTGCATGTGAGCAGCAGAGAGAGTGAAAGGGGTTCATGGAAAACAACTGTGGTATGAGAATAGGAGAAAGTATATTGTGAATACCAAATACAAAGTTATCATACGTGAAGGTGGTAACTGCACCTGGCACCTGGAAGCACTTTACCACACTTAAACTCCACTTAATTAGTACTTTATCAAGGCAATTATACTGAGGAAACGATATACAAATATATAAGAGACTAGAATAATTACACTAATAATTGATATAGGGGGAATGTACAGTTACTGGCAGTGTATAGTAAGGTAATGACAAAGTATCAGTATGGGTGGAGACCTGATAATTTTGATTGTATCGGTATCGCCGTAAAACTGAGCTTTGGTATGTATCAGTATCCGGAAAAAATTGATGTTGTCCATTATTAATGTATGTATTACTCTGAGGGAAATTAGAAGCATTTGTTACACAACAATGGAACTGTGAACTACAAACAGTCCAGCTTGGAAGGTTTCCTTAAGTGTTACGAGGACTGCAGCCTTGCCTCACCTCGACTCATTAATACCTTTGATGAGTTTCGAGAGTTTTCCTACTCCCGCAGCCAGGCCCCGGGCCAGGTTTGTCTGGTGTTTGCCTAGTTAACCACGCTGTTGCTGCTGGTGGCCAGACCCTGTCTTCCTTCTGGCCCATTTTAAAACACACTATTGGTCTCCCTCGGCTAAAACTAATCATACATGATAAATAGAAGTTATTGACCAGTAAGGTTTACTTGAGTGGGTCTGTTAAAACCTAGATCATCACTTCTTAATAGCCGAGGATACAAGACCAGCCCTTCAAACACAGCCAGATTCTCTTTTATTGACCTAACAGACAGTAGGAGATATGCATATTCAGTTACGATACAAATTAATTATACAAATTAATACATACTTGGTGGGTATTGAGAACTTTCAAAACAAGGGAAACAATGCCGATGGTGACACTCTTCAAATCGCTAGTGCTCCCTCACTTTGAATATTGCTCAGTGCTGACGGCCCCGTTCAGGGCAGGAGAAATATCGGAGCTGGAACAAATACAGAGATCGTTTACAGCTCGCATTGAACCAGTAAAGCACCTGAACTACTGGGAACGCCTGCAAGTCTTGAACATGTACTCATTGGAGCGGAGGAGAGAGAGGTACATGATAATATATACCTGGAAGGTGCTCGAGGGCTTGGTCCCAAATCTGCACACTGCCATAACATACTGGAGTGAG